CTGATGTACCCTACGTTACAGGGACATAACTCACATTTATAGTAAGGAAATGTAATACAGGTAACCCTCGCTATTTCGGATTAATATGGGCGCAGAGATAATCCGGATTAGTGAAGCGAAAAGTAGCCCTAAAATATAAAGAAATCAGAAGACAAATAAATGGAAAATTTAATAATAAAATTAGCGTTGATGAAAATTATTTAAAAAGTTGCTGTGAAGTCTATATTTTAAAACTACAAAAACATAGTACATTTATTCATCGATAGAAGACTCAGCTCCCTCGTTGGTGTCTCCACCTTATCGTGGTGAGGGGGTTTGAGTATGCCAAGGACCCTGAGAGCTATACCAGCGGTAGCGTAGCTACTGGCAGGGCCTCCCTTGCTGGACAGGTCAAAGGGTAGGCATCAGACGAAGAGAGACACCAAAAACCAAAAACTGATGCCGGAAGCAGCGTCATCAGCAGCGACTTGAAGCACAGAGCAAATGATGCTCGAGATGGTTCAAGTTCGTATAGCAACAGGCGTGACCAGAGTGGTTTGAACGGCTGTTGTACTGCGATGTGGAAAGCAAATGGAAAAACTACCACATTATCACTTTTCCTGGATAGTCTCTTTCCAAAAACAGAGATACCATGTATGCGAGATGTTTCCTCTGGAGACAAACAAACCGGAGGGGCAGATAGAAGTGCCCAAAAGACGAGGAAGAAGACCGAAGAAGATATTTTAACTGAAGGAGAAAGCTTGAGATCGCATTAAGTGGAAGAACTGTTTTGGAAGAGACTGACAGATTACCGATGAATGAAAGAAGACTCAGAAATTTTACGTCTTTTTAAACGTACTATAATATAGGTTTGAAGAAACTATTACGTTTTGTCTGAAGAGACAAGTGACTCATCTTCTTTCTCCTAAACGCCAAGTGCCTTTTTAAGTTATGTATTCAACCGAAAACAGCATTTATCGTTTTTAATAGTTCGATCCGGTTTTTCCAACGTTCAGATTAACTTAAACCAGATTTGTTTTCACTGGCTCTACAGCCCCCTTGGCCCCTGGTCTCTGATTTTTCAGTTTCATAATAATTTTACAGACGATAGGACTCCTTGGACGAGTGATCAGTTCGTCGTAAGGCCTCTACCTAAACACAGAATAAACACATACCAAACATCCATGCCTTGTGTGGATTTCGAACCCACGATCCTGGCTTCCGGCGAGCGAAGAGACTACATGCCTTAGACCGCTCGTCTACCATAACCGGCCTGTAACCGGATTAGCCAGGGTTTTCTGTACTGGAGAATTGTAAAGGAATTAAACATCCCATTGCAATTATGAGCGATGTTACGATATTCGTGTTCAATTTGATAATTTATATGAAGAACTGACGGTTCTCACCCTGTATTCCATCGTTTAAAATATTGTCACGTGTTGGGTATGTCACGCGACAAATAACTTCACATGGCTCTCGGATTCAGCGAATCTTTATTGGACACTCAGTCTTACACACCTTCCAACTGTTATCATTTCAACTGTGTTCGGCGGCGGCTATCTTCCAACTGTCTTGTATGGCGGCTATCTTCCAACTGTCTTGTATGGCGACTATCTTCCAACTGTCTTGTATGGCGACTATCTTCCAACTGTGTTGTTGCTGTCATAGTCATAATCATAGTCACAGTCACATTGCGACTGACGGTCAGCCAGTCAGTAAGTCATGGTGTCGAGCACCCTTCTGGGGCTCATGACCAGATATTTATTACTGTTTGACATTTACGGTCTTGATTTTGTGTGGCGCCCTCTCTGACGAGAGGACGGGTCTGTCTTTTGTATATGCTGCTGGCCCTTGCCAGCGCAGTCTTTATTGGGTCCGAGTCCCTTGGGACTCGTGACCGTATTTTACTGTCTCAGAATTGAGACTTCCCTTTTCGTCGCCTCTTACGACTCGCAGGGTCACGGTGGAGGTATTCGACCCCGCCTCCACACTGGTGTGTTGTTGCTGTCAAGTCAAAGTCAAAGTCTCATTGCGACTGACTGACAGTCAGTAAGTCTTGGTGTCGAGCTCTATCTGGGGCTCATGACCAGATATTTACTACTCTTTGACAGTTACGGTCTTGTTTTTGTGGGGCCCTCTCTCTGACGAGAGGACGTGTCTCTCTTTTGCATATGCTGCTGGCCCTTGCCAGTGCAGTCTTTCTCGTGTCCGAGTCCCTTTGGACTCGCGACCATATTTTACTCTCTCATATTTGAGACTTCCATTTTTGTCTCCTTCTACGACTCGCAGGGTCACGGTGAGGTATTCGACCTCTCCTCCACACGGGTTTTCTCGTGTTGTTGCTGTCTGTAGCTCTCGGCTTATGTAGGTGTTCTGAGGACTGAGTAGAGGACACCCCTCGCCAAGGTTCGATCTCACGTGTTCGGCAATCCGTTGCTTCGGGAACGCTCTTTATACGCTGGTAAGTATTTTCGTCTCATCCGTTGTTACTCAACGGCCTTCTGTTGTTCGTCTCCATGGAAACGCGTTCGTTGTTTCTGCAATTCCTACGCAACGGCCCACTGTTATTGCGTTACCATGGAAGTATCTACTCCAAACACGTTACAATATTAATTCGTTCCTGGTTTTATTTGAATGGAGTTTTATTATTAAACAGAACGTGAATAGTCAGAGATAACAGCAGTATTGTCTAAGGGAGAGTATAAACCCTCCCCTTTCTAAGCACTTCCCATTATTTCCGTTTATTTTCAGGAAGCTGTAAATTCATTATCTCAAGGAGTACAACAGAAAGGCATTCAGAATTAGCGACGCGTATATTTTGTTTTTCTAAGCTCATTGATTCACAAAAATGTGCCACGAAAAATGGTCCTCGGGAGTAGAGAAACGTTCTTATTTTTAGTACTGTGACGTGCCGCCTGAGAGCATACATATAGAAGTTGGAAAACAATAGACGTCCATTGCCGGGCAACGGCTCAGTGAACGATCTTCCTGCGGCAACCAGTGATATAGAAATGGAATCGGCGTATTGCCACTTGGGCAGTACGCTGGATGCCGTTACATCGGAAACCCGAAACAGAACCCTTCGAGAAGGTGTCTTCTAGACCGTCCCACCACCGAAGATAAGAGCGGACTCAGTCAACAGAGCTGAGAGCTGAGGAAAGTGAATAGAGAACAGAGAAGCAGAAGTTAAAGAACCAACCAGACAGAGAGGGCAGTGAGAACAATGAGGGAATAGTTCTCAAGGAGTTCTAGGTGTGGACTGTGGAAATCCAATGTAATTTTAATCGAAATACCCAATAAATTCAATGATCAAATCTATAATCCAAAATTATTAGTGACCAGTTCTCCTCCGCTACACGTGACAGTGCTTGAAACAAATAGCTTAGGGGGTTGGGCGTCTAGATCATCTAGTGAAGTCTATATCACCATGCCAGGTTTGGCTCAAGTATGTTCATAGATCTGGAAATTCATAAAGAGCGAACAAAGAACACATACGGAACTTACAGGGCTGCAGGGCTTCTAGCCTCAAGCTGGAAATGTGAATGTTATGAATCAATAATATTCGACATTGAAGTCCAGGGTTCGTCTCTGCGACATGGGTTGTACCTGTAGATTTGGAGGATGCGCTCTGGCAGAACACTTGTGTGCCGTCAGTTGGGCACACGTGTTCGGCAACTGAGAGGTAGCACTTCTGGTATCCCCCCCCCCAAGTTATGGGGGCATTAAGGGTGTTTGAGAACAGGGTGTTGAGAATATATGGACCGAAGAGAGGTGAAATGACAGGAGGCTGGAGAAAACTGCATAATGAGGAGCTTCATAACTTGTACTCTTCTTCGAGTGTAATTAGAATGATCAAGTAAAGGAGGATGAGGTGGGCAGGGCATGTAGCACGAATGGGGGAGATGAGGACTGCATATAGGATGTTGGTGGGAAAGCTGTAAGGAAAGAGATCACTGGTAAGACCAAGGAGTAGGTGGGTGAACAATATTAAAACGGATCTTGGAGTGACAGGATGGGATGGTATGAATTGGATTGATATGACTCAGGATAGGGACCAGTGGAGAGCTCTTGTGATCACGGTAATGAACCTTCGGGTTCCATAAAATGCTGGGAAATTCTTGAGTAGCTGCAGAATTGGCGGTTCCTCAATGACTCAGCTTCATAAGTAAGTAAGTAGGTAAGTAAGTTAAAAGGGAATCTGCGAAGAATTCTCATTTTAAGGAGCGCATTATATGGTTGTCTGACAATGTTTTCAGAACAGATTGTATAGCAAACTTGTACTAAAAATGCCATTGCACTAATAAGAAAAAAAAGTAGGGTGCCCATAAGAGCTGGGTGTATGGGCGCGAGAAATGATGCCAATGTATGGGGTGGGTGTTCACGAGGGGGTACCTTGAGTGACGTATTACGTGGATCTGTATAGTACATTATAGTAGGGCTAGAGTAGGACTTCCGCATGCGCGAGATCCTGTGCGCGCCCTGCAGACAGTTTCGCACTCTCCCCCCACCACACCGTCCTAACCGTTCCCCTTCTTTCACTCCGTCTGCGCGTTAGAATTGCAAAACCCGAATCCGCCAACCACCGTACGCGTCTGTGGAATGGACGCTCGGTTTTCGACAAAAAGACTGGTTTATTAAAGAGACGCCTTGTTGGGCTTTAAGATCAAACTCAGAGGCAGTGTTAAATAAATGGTGTTGCTTCATGTCTATAAGGACTAGTATTGTATAGCAAAGCAAGGAAGGTATACACCTGAGGAACCAAGTATAGAAGTCTTTGTTTATATGAAAGTGAGCATATGTTGTCGGCCATCTTTGCTGAAAGGGGTGAACTATGGGTGTAGGGAGCTTGCGCAAGTGTGGTAGATGGTGCGGTAGGGGTAGAGGGGTTTGAGAGACTGGCCGAGATGATCTTCGTAAGGGATGGTGTGGACCACTCTCTCAAGTTCTCGTGTTCAGTTGGGTTCTCTGTTCTGTCTAGACATCACCACTCCTACTGAAGAAGGTCCTATTTTTTTATCCTTTAGGGGTTAAAGACTTGGCAAAACATCTGCCTACTACGATGCGTACAACTCAACCGACGGTTTTGTTCAGCTTCACTTCTGGTGAGAATTCAGTGTTTGTTACTGCATCTTTGTGCATGTTTGATTGTGTTGTGATAGTTTCGGTTCAGACCACTGCAGAACCAAGTTTGGAACCCAGGCGTGGGCATCCGAAATACGGAGATGTCTGGACGCAATGCATAGTTCAATGAATACAGATCAGACTATTAACACGTTCTTGTCACAAACTTTTTCCTTCTGTACGTCTATCTACCCTGAAATGTGATTCAGTTGGTTAGTAAATGTGAAGTTGTAATGTCTGGGTATAGAACAGGGTCGTATGTCGAGCTCTTAACATAAATTAAGGATCCTTAACACAAGCTACGAGCATTATCTTAAAATATCTCTCATACTAATAAAATATACAGTTCAGCACAATTCAAGTTATATATATATATATATTTGTAAAAGCTGGCCATATTTTTACTTTATATGTTTTGTATTGTGTTGTGTGGCAATATTTGCTATAATATGAGGTTTGTTTTGTTTTGTAGGTAGAAGAGAGACACGAATGTTCTAGAATTACTTGTGTTATTAATTAACAATTTACAGATCTCCATAATTAATGAATATCCAATAAAACTTAATGTAAACAGTTTTTGTTCAGTTTTAATAATAATAACAATAATTCAATTCAGATCGCGTTTATTTAGGTGGAAACTTAACAGCGCAGAGGCAAATTACAATGTTAGCACCAATATATAGAAACAAAAAAGAATTACGAAATATGACAATCTAAATTAATGGTAATTCCAAGAAAAATTAAAGTTAACATTAACGGCTGAGAAAAATAAAATAAGTAAATTTCCACTGGTTATGTCATTATCTAGCGAGAAAGGACAATGCACGTACATACACACATAGAAGTTAGTAATAATAACAATTACTAAATTAATTTTTACTTATTTTTGTGCTAACATAACATCCAAATAATAGTAACAACAACAATAATAGTAATAATTATAATAATTCAGTTAAAATCCTCATTTCTAACTTCCTAATTCAAAATCTACAAGCCCAAATTGTAATCTCGCTCAAAAGAATAAAAAAAGCGAAAGCGATACATATATAACAAAACAATAAAATAATAATAATTGTAATACGAATAATAATAATAATAATAATAATAATTTTAGAAGCGAACGGAACACTGCGAAATATTTATTAAACTGAGTGAAAAAGTCTGATAAATTTTTGCACTCTTTTTCAAACTTGAATAACACATAACTCTATGAGAATTACACCGTACAAAATCGAAGGAAAAAATCATGAAAGTTTTCATACTTTTACAACTCTTGTTTGACGGAATTCTCGTATTTATTTTAAAAGTTACATGGATATGAAAATTAAGTTTTAAAATAAAATAAATATATGTAATATTCTAACGATTAATATACGTTTGGCATACAAAATATTAAATATAGAGTTGAAATTTTTACATTTTCAGCGGCTTAGTCAGTCGAGATTTTAATTTTTTTTTAATGAATGCAATCCAGCAGTTTCCCCTCAATGTGGAATCAGAGAGCATTTAGTTGAGAATTTCTGAGTGGCATTCGTTTTAAAGCTGTGATTATCTCACCTAGAAGTGCACTAGTTATATTTACTGGTGCTGCAGACCAGATATTGATCACTCGCTTTCGCAGCACTACATGTGCGGTAGCTACAGTCAGTGTCAGTGACGTAGCTATAATCATCTCGTATTCTGCAACAGTACCAAACCGAAATTACATAACTAGTGACAAGTGAAACAATAAATCATATCAAGGTTGTGATTCGGGAATAATATAAAAATAAATTCTTAATTTTACCCTAGGCATAAGTGGAGAATAATATTAGAATTAATCTTAAAGAGTTAGGATAATTGTGAACTAGATTCATCTGGCTGAATGACGGATTTTGTAAACGCGTTAATGAACTTCATATGAACTGCATATTTTAATTGTACAAAATAACAACCTTTGGAAAAAGAAGTTTTATATCATTATTGAAATAAAAATTTGTGTTTTTTTATGTTGTCTTGTGTATGTATTTCGAAATACATAATTTAAATTAAGTTGTCGCAGTCGTTGTCAGTTTCTTACTGAGGTTTATTTTCATGCCCTAATAATGACTACATTGTGAATTTCGCATGCTAATTAATCGTATAAACGTATAAAGTGCAGTATTTAATGTGTATCAAATGCTTTAAGGTTAAAAGAAAAATGCTAATTAATGCATGTATTTATTTTATATAATGACTAGATAAACGGCGATCATTTTCCTGAACATCATCAACAGGTTGGCCTTTGTAATGGAGATGCATTGTGTTTTCTATGTGGTAGAAACTGAAATTTAAATATTATTTAGAGGAATTCAGGAAACTTTTAATAGCTCGATCATCACAATTATTCCTGCGCACTCAGACTAGTGAGCATGAAATAGGGGCTCCGGTCTAGAAAACCGAGATTAAAGGCCGTGGGGATCCGTTTCGCTGACCACGTGACATCCTCTATCCGCAAAAGTTGGCACTAACTTCACCGGCAAGTGGCGGTCGCTCGGTCGGTATAGTTCGCTTGCGGACTACAGGCCACGGAGTTCATTTTACTTTTGTTTCTATTAACTTTAACCTTGTTGATGTGATGTGATTAAAAGAGGTAAGAAATTGATAGAGATAAATTATGATATTATCCTTATTTTCTGGCTCGCAAGAAGCACGGGAAACTTATATTTCATTCAGTACTGTCACTGCATGAACATGTCCGTGAAAGCGTGTCATATACATAACTGGATTTGTCTTCTTATCTCCTGCGTTATCCACAGTTTACAACAAGACGGGTCAACAAACAGTGTCATTATTCGAGGCTGTTCGTCCGTGCGTTAAACACAACAATTACAGTGCTTCACTAAATTAAATAATGGTTAAATATATTACAGACAACCTAATAATAAGGGGACACCCGGTAGCATAGTTGGTTAAGGCACTATGCTACAAACCGGAAGGTCGCAGGTTCGCATCCCGATGAGGTGGGTTTTCCAATTTACCTAATCCCTCCCTATGCCCCTGAGGTCGACTCAGCCTCTAACAGAAATGAGTGCCAGAAATCTTCCTGGGGGTAAAGGGGGCCGGTGTGTGAGGCTGACAAACTTACAGCCATGTGTGAGCCGGTTGTGTACAGAAAATAGGGAGCCTCGACGTGTCACGACCCTGTGGTCCTCTACGGCCTGTTACAGGGATAACTTTACTTTGTTACCTTTACCTTATGTTAAGGGAGAATGAATCGTCTTTACACGAACTTCTCGTTTAACAAGCGTTCAATTAACGAATTACTTATCCTTTTTTTCTGAATTAATAGCAGATTAAATTCCGGGAATATTTTAAATCACTTAATTCAAAATCCTTTGTTTTTGTTCTGCTAAATTAAAGCGTAAAAAATAAAATGTAGAAAACTATAATTTTGCCTATAGTTTTGTATGGGTAAGAAACTCGGTCTGTCATATTAACTGAAGAATATAACGAATAAGGCAGTGAGAAAAATATTGGTGTATTGCTTAGTTTAATCTTTGATCTTGAAGATGAAGGCGATTAATTCCCTCGAAACATCGGGCTGTCTCCGAACCACACGGCGTAACGGTCCAGAAGACCGCAACTGTTCATAGTTACTTTTTTGATTGCTAGTGGGGTGGGACTAAGTCCTTGTACTGCGGCTACTTCTGGCCTACTGTACCAGCCCCAGATGATAGTTGAGGGTGATTGTGGAGCAATTGGTGGAATGAAGATTGGCAGGGGAAACCGAAGTACTCGGAGAAAACCTGACCCAGCGCCACTTTGTCAACCACAAATCCCACTTGACCAGACCCGGGATCGAACACGGGCAACCGCGGTGGGAAGCCAGCGACTAACCGCTTGAGCTATGGCGCGTTCATAGTTACTTCGTGAGAACTTCTTGTGGAGTCGCGAACCCCCTCCCCTGCTTGTTAGAGAGGGTGGGGACGTGTCGGTACGTGTGGCAGTGCAGGTGACCTAACTGCATTTACCTCCACAGCGGATCTGCACTGTGCCACTATCAACCTTTCCGCTCCATGTTGCGCATTAGCGTTGTGTAACAAAGCGCAGGGCGGCCAGTCCCTGCCGCCTGTTAGGGACTGCTCATGTGTTGAGATAATGAGCGCGATAATCGAGATTATTATCCAAACCGATATCAGCCATTTCGGACGAATTCCATTGACGCACGTGAAACTGGAATGTATGAAGTTCCCATCCGTTACAGTTATCATTAGTTCATGCCAGTTGTTATAAATCGTTACAGTCAGTCTGATGATGCGAGGATCAAGGTTCGATTCTCATCACGCGTAAGAGATTTCGCTCTTCACCACAGCGTTGAGACCGCCTTTGGGCCCTCTCAAGCGCACTATACAATCCCTGTGACAGGCCGTGGAGGCCCATATGCTTCTCAGACGTCGAGGCTCCCACATTTTCTAGACAATCGGCTCACAGATGGTGGTGAGGTTATCAGCCTTACACACCGGCCGCCCTTTACCCCCAGGAAGATTCCTGGTACTCATTTATGTCGACCCCAGGATCATAGTTCTGCTGGAAGGATTAGGTAAATTGAAAATATCCAATGGCCTCATCGGTAACCGAACCAGCGACCTTCCGTCGAGGAAACAGCGTGAGCAGTGTGTGGCACATAACTGAATTGAAAATTCTGAAACTGCTGCGTGAAATACCACATTTTAAAAACAGAGCGATGGCGTGCATGAAGAAGTTCTGTAGTTGTTGCTCTTTGCACAATAATTCTTGTGTGAATGAAGGAACAGGCGATAAGATGGAGGACACGTGTTGTGGCCCTCGGTCAGGAAGGAAGGAATATTGAAGCCGTCCATTCTGGTCGGTTGATTCAGCCATAAATTAGTCAGAGGCTGAGCTTCGATCGTTCGCCCCTGCAGTGACTTGCCTCCCAGGCTGATCCTGTCCACGCATCCTTCGTATTTATGAGTCCTTTCAGATCTTGAACGCAGGA